GCAATGACGCCTGATATCAACTCTGATTTTGATGAAAGTACTCGATTTGGCGCCTTTGGGATGAAATGCTTGATTTTCATAGCGCATCAGTAATCGCTAAGAATACCTGGGATGCGGAAAAATAAAGACTTTAATGTAAGGAATTCGAGATCATTTCGTTTGTAGGTTCGGAAGCTCGCCAGTGTGTGCGGTAAAATTAGTTCGCTCGAGAACTGCGTCGGGAACATAACAAGGCTCATGACCAGAAATACCTTTGTTGTTGTTACCTCTGTCACCAATTAGAATTCTCTCGTCTCTCTACCGCCTGAATGCATAAATGAATTAAACTTTTGGAAAGACAATCTTGCTACCATCAACGGTGTGCCTTTGTAGCCCGTGAAGCGCAAACCAACGAAAATTGTATACTCAGATGCGTCTGATGCAGCCTGAAGAAGTTATATTCAGTTCGAAAACAAAGTCCCCATGTAATCTGTGGTAATCCTAATAAGCAAATCAATATTTTGCCGGCACGTATCAGAGGTCCGGGGACGGGTGCGAGGTGCGCGGAGACTTATGGGATCGTAGTTTGCAAGTAGAGGTCGTTAGTAGGGCAAGACATTTTACGGTCAGCCTTCGCCCTGTTAATTTGTTCCTTTTCGATTTCATTTTTGTCTAAATGTAGAGCTGTACTTGCATACTACCTCAAGTAACTGTGTATAACATGTCATTCATAGGATACTCTAAAACTCCAAGGGTGGCACCTGTAACATCTCTTTCGTTTTTCTAAATTTCAAGTTACAATTTTTCTCTTCCTCTACCCCATTCGTTTTTTTTTTTGTATTCACGCGCGACACGCGTGATTTTATAAATTACCCAATCACGTCAAAGAACTTTAACCTTGACATTGGAAAACTGACGTGGACATTTTTCGCGTACTTTTAGCTTTGTTTTCGCGGAGTTTTAGTTGTTTTTTAGCTTTCGTTCGCGTAAATTTGTTACTCCTTTGTTCAGAATTTAAAGAAGTTTCGGAGTTTTTATTTTAGTTGAAAGTTGAGGTTCTTTGAACAAGTTTAATACGTATTTTCTACGGAGTGTGGACTCTGGTCTCTTTTTTTTCGTAAATGGATTTTTTACATGGTGCCGAGACCCGGGAATATTGACTCACTGAAGAGTTCGATCTCTCGAAATTTTGGCTTTAATGACACAAGAGCACATCGAAGATGAAATCAAGGATACTGAAAACTTCAGAGAATCTATTCATCAAATGATAGTGAAAATTGACGAACTCTCAACGCAGATTAACTGGAAAAGGCCGGAAATACAGATAAGTCAATTCCTCTCTCTAATTCTAATTCGTTTATTGAAAGTCTTGGAATCGGAAAGGGAACACTGCCGAAGATTAACCTTGAGAAATTCCATGTTGATCCCATTTTCTTTCAATCCATTCTGGGACTCATTTGCAAGTGCAGTCGATGACAACCCTGGTTTATCAGATGTTGACAAACTCAATTATTTGAGAAATCTGTTAGAAGGGCCAGCCGCAGGAGCCATTCGAGGGCTACCGCTTACAGCAGAAAATTACGAGTCAGCTAGAGCCATTCTAAAGAAACGATTTGAGCAACCTCAAGTAATCATTAATGCTCACATAGAGGGATTAGAGAAAGTATCAGCTGTAAGCGCGTACAATCATTTGAGACGTCTACGCCTTCTTTATGATCGAGTTGAAGCTCACGTTCGAGCTTTACAAGTCCTGGGAATAAACTCTGAATCGTATGGGAAGCTTTTGATTCCCCTTCTCAAGGAAAAAGTACCTCCGAATATGCGCTTGAGAATTTCAAGGACCGTGGATCAACCAGAATGGGACTTGGATGTTTTACTTGACGCCTTTGACCATGAAATTGAAGCGAGAGAGCGATGCGAGCCGATTGGAACGAACCCGACTGATCCTTCTACCTCTAAGAAGCCTTTCTCAGTGCCCTCAAGAAAAAGTTAAGATTTTTCGTCCGCTTCAGCTCTTGTTAATCAGTCTTAGGGATCTGTGACATATACCAACCTGTTGAAATGAGAGGGCCGTTGCTTTATTTGTTTACGTCGCAACCATTTGGCAAGGAATTGTTCTCAAGGCAAGGCATGCCGCAATTTCTCAGGAAGACATCACATGTTAATCAGCGAGAAAGCCAACAGCAGTCGTGTCAACTCAGAAAATGCCGCTTAAAGAAGTAATGTAATGACCGTCAATGAAGCAAATCGCCGAGAAAACAAGTCCTCTACAACAGTGTACGTGGACTCAAACATGTCAATTTTGCTGCAAACGGCCAACGCCTTTGTGTCACGGATCCATCAACCTCATTCTGCTGTAACCATGCGCATTCTATTTGACAGTGGCAGCCACCGGAGCCAGATTTCCGAATGAGCGAAAGAAAAATTGGGTCTGTTTCCGAAGAGAAAAGAGAAGCTACTCATCAAAACGTTTGGACAAGAAAACGAAGACTTAAGAGAGTATGGCATTGTCGAATTCTGTGTCGGAGGATTGAGTCAAAGTTCAGACGTTTAGATGATTGCTCATACCGTCCGTCTCATCTGCAGTCCTTTGACGAATCAAGCCGTACAGTTTGTTCAACAATCATACAGTCATCTGGCAGACTTGAAACTTGCAGATCAACCATCCGAAGACTGTGGTTCAGAAGTAGATGTCTTAATTGGCAATGATTTCTATTGGTCTTTCTTCACGGGAGACACGAAACGGGGGGAATCAGGACCTATGGCGATGAAGACGAGTCTTGGATGGGTGTTGTCTGGTCCTTTTCCCCAAACACCAGGTTCAGATACTGGTGTTCATTTAGTCACAAGCCATACCTTGCGTCTAGACACCTCCTCATGTGACGACACTGTTACCGAAAAGAGAATTTACGACCCGCTGCTGGAACATGTGAAAAAATTCTGGGAGAAAGAAGCTATCGGTGTGTCAACACAAGAAAAGACAGTGCATTAGAAATTCTTGGATACTATTCATGTTAACAACGGCCGCTGTGAAGTCTCTCTTCCTTGGAAAGAACAGCACGCATTACTACCGGATGACTATGCCCATGCCGTTTCTCGCCTGGCTTCTGTTCTAAAACGTCTAAGAAAGAATCGTGGGTTGTTTGAAGAGTACAACCGCATCATTGAAGAGCAATCTTCGCGAGGAATAATCTCCGATGTCGATCTCGACATACCAGTCGAAGTTGGTCACGTGCATTATTTACCGCATCATCCAGTTGTGCGCGAGGATAAACAGACGACGTAAGTGAGGATAGTCTATGATGTATCCGCTAAGTCTACTGGTCCAGCGTCAAATGACTGCCTTCATGCAGGTCTATTATTGCTTTCTGAAATACCCGATGTTCTGATGCGTTTCAGGTACCACCGAGTTGCTTTTGAGGTACTCGCAGTGGTTATCTGACCTGTCAAAAGCTGAATGTGTCCCGATCCAACAATGTTTTCTTCCAGACGAGAGCATAATTTCACTTCAACTACGGTTCGGAAGTAGCGTACGCGGCAGCTGTATATCTCAGAATGGAAACGAGTCGAGGAGTATACGTTAATTTGTTGATGAGTAAGTCACGAGTCGTACCGCTTTCCAAGCAAACCATTCCCAGGATTTAGCTCTTAGCGTCACTCATACTATCCAGGTTGATTACCCGAGTCCGTTCAGCCCTACTTCCATTGGTCAAGATTACAGAAATATTTTTGCTGGACAGATTCCACTACGACTCTTCACTGGATAAAGGGGGTTGGACAAAGAATACAAGCAATTCGTTGAAAACAGAGTCAAGGAAATCCGTCAGAATGTGCCGCTCAAAGCGTGGAACTATTGCCCCGAAAGTCAGAATCCCGCAGACTTACTCTCCCGTAGTATGGGATAAGATGCGTTGAAACAGTCACAACTATGGTGACATGGTCCATTTCGGCTAATGAAAGGAAAGAAGATTTGGCCTTACTTCGGAAACTCCCACGAGACTTCAAGTGCTTATTTTGAAGAAATGCGTCTGAAAGCCAAAGGAAACCTGGCTTCTTATTGACTCTTCGATGATTTCGTTAACAAATATCTTCGAACCCCAGAAGTACAGAGACTTTAAGAAGCTGATACGATTAACAGCACTGGTGCTCAGAGCCGTGAAGAATTTCAAAACTGAAACACGTGGTGAGGAACCGAATGGCCTTTTGAGTAACGGAGAGTATGCTCTCGAAGAAATTCTATGGATCCGCGAAATGCAACAGTCTGTAATCAAGTCACAGAAATTTAAGGAATTGAAACAACAGCTAGAATTGTACACAGATGAAAGCAAGTTGCTCCGATGTAATGGAAGACTACAGAATCTTACGATTCCATTTAACGCCAAGTTCCCCATTTTCCTGCCATCAGATCATGACCTAACCGTTCTTATCATTCGAGATTGCCACAAGTGAGTCCAACATAACGGAGTAAGAGAAACCTTGGCAGAACAAAGGTCTAGATTCTGGTTTGTGAAGGAAAGACAAGTCGTTCGCAAGGATTCTTTCAAAATGCGTGTTAGAAGACGAGAAGTCGATCAGTCTCTTCAGGAACAAGAGGACTCCTTTTAAAGGAAAACTGATAAAGGGGCGAAGATGTAGAAAATCTCTTTGGTTTTTTTAAATTTCAAGTTACAATTTTTCTCTTCCTCTCTTCCATTTGTATTTTTTTTTTTATTCACGCGCGGCGCGCGTGATTTCACAAATTAGCCAATCACGTCAAAGAGCTTTAACCTTGACATTGGAAAACTGACGTGGACATTTTTCGCGTACTTTTAGTTTTGTTTTCGCGGAGTTTTAGATTTTTTAGCTTTCGTTCACGTAAATTTGTTGCTCCTCTGTTTGGAATTTACAGAAGTTTCGGAGTTTTTGTTTTAGCTAAATATTGTGGTTCTTTTAGCAAGTTTAATACATATTTTCTATGAAGTTGGACTCGAGTCTCTTTTCGTAAATGGATTTTTTTACAGCACCGCTGCCTTGGTTGGGGGTTCACGTTCCCCGTTTTCCCACCTGCTGGTTTTTAGAGGTTTTCGTGTCCGGCTTTGGTGCTTTTAGTTTACTTCAATCGTAAAAGACTTTTGTAAGCATATCGATTTGGCGTTAAATAAATGGTGGCTTGGCTGGCCAACGCGCTTGGAGGGTAATAGCAATGTGCTGCAGTTACAGAATACCTCTTTTCATGATTACCGATAGTAGTACATGCAACTGAACCTTTCAATGATTATTTATATTAGAGGTTCATTATACCCGTTAAATACCCCTGCAAGAGGTAAATATTTTTCATCCGTGACTTACCAGTAAGTATTTCTAGTTCCAAAACATCAAAAAAGCTGTGAAAAACGACCTGAATAAAAAACACTAAGGGGAAATAAAAAGATGACCGAATTGAAGGACACCACCACAATATTCATCTATGTAATAGAAGAGTAGAGAGAGATAGGAATGATCGATGCAGCGGAGTTTACCTCTCTTCCGAGTTCCTGTCATTAACAAAAGGCTGAGCACTAATCAATCTATAAAATTTAAAACACCGAACACATTTAAATAAAGTAGTCAGAATAGATAATGTAAACTTTGATTTCAAGGTAAAAAGTGTGTTCAGGGATTAAGGTTTGTATACCTTGCTAGATTTGCAAAGAAATTGGCCAACTGAACAAATTTAAATACTGAAATACTGAATACTCGTTTTCTATCAGACACCATAATCTCTAAGACACATATTTCTACGTGTTTCAAAAAGCACGTCAGGCAGATCAGAGGGACTTGAAAAATATGCTCTTAAAACCACAGCCGCTGGGCGGCTACTGTTGCAATCTCGCTCAACTGACTTCCTTAGTATCAAAGGGCATAACAAAATTGATTCCATCATTAGAAGAAACCTTAAACGTGCATTTATGACAACAACTTAACTGATTTATGTTATTGTTATACATAGGTGTCAAGATTTGGATTCGGTTTGACCACAAGGAGGATGGGGCCGCGATTTCGTTTCACGCACGACTTTCGCTTAATTTACGCGCCAACAACACTCTATTGTAAGTATGTATTTACAATAATACACCCTTTTGACAGGTGAGAGGCCAATTTAGCCATAGGCCACTATTAAAAGCTTTATTTTGATTACCTTTACACAAGTGACTCTGAACAATGGCTCGTGATAACGTCCGTATTAACACTACTTGAACAAATTTAATGGACCTTGCAGTACTTTGGGGAGGCAATGGAGGCAATACTGAAGGCACAGATTACAATGTCGATCTGATTATTCACTGCTCTTAAGGACACAGTTTTTTTTATTTACATACGTCTCACATTTCCGACGACTAAACTAATTCATTCAGCCGTCAAGTAGGCGAGAAGGAGCCTGTCTCCTTTAAAGCTCAGTCGGCCATGTTGAACAGCAAGATTGTCCAGCAC